TCACACCCAGGGTGCGTCCCACCCGTACCCTGGCCCGTCGAAGGGGCTAGAAGAGAGAGGAGCTGCCTGGGCCCAGGGCAGCGAGGGTGAGATGTGCCCACCAGCAAGGGACAAGCCAGGATTTTGAAAGCATGAAATCGGGTCGTGCTGGCTCTAAGCGAGCGGCTGGTTTCATCCGAGCCAGGCGTACCCGGGAGGGCAGATAATACTACGGTGACACCTCCTCTCCCCCCAGCGCTCAGGGCACGCAGTGGCAGCTGAGGGGGATCAGCCCAGGGCTGGGGGTGATGGATGTAAGGGGATAGGGGTGGCTGGTGAGGAAGAGCTTCCCTGGGGGGGTGACCCTGGTGCCAGAAGCCATGAGGGGGCAGAGGAGGCTCCCTCCCCCCATTGGGGGTACCACTCGGTTATCTCCCCCCCACATAGGCAGAAGCAGCTGGAAGGGCCAAGGTAGGTGCAGCTACAAAACACCAGAACCTTTTTCTCCCCTACCAGAGATTGTCCCCCCAGGACAGGGGCCAGGAGCCCCAAAGGAACAAGGATCATCTGTCACCCCACAGTTCATGCCCAGGCTGCAGGGGTCAGAAAGGCACTACCCCTCCCTGTTCCCGCCCCCCTAGCACCAGGATGTGGGCACCGCAGCCTCACCCCCGGCTCTGGCATTGCCCCAAGCATGGATGGCAAAGTTCACAAGCCTTAGTCCCTACCCAGCCAGCCAGTAGGGGCAGGGCGGGCACTGCCCCACCCCATGTCTCCTTCCCTTCGTCAGGCGCTTGCCAGGGCCAAGAACCCAGAGCCAGGCTGCTGTCAGTCAATAATTTATTTCTATCCAGACACAGGGAACGGAAATACACCAGAGTTTACAAAAATAGAAGGTGCAACAGACTAACCTGCAGCCCGGGCCCCAGGGCAGGATCGGGGCCCTGCCCAGGCTGGCGCACGGAGCGTTATTGCGTGTCGCGGGATCGCTGGAGGGCAAGGAACCGCATCTGGGGCCTCGGGCACCAGCCTCCTGCTTGGGAGCCCCTGCCGATCCCCTGCCCCCGATGGGTAGGGGAGCAGGCATCTCGTCCCGCTTGGCCAGCGCTGATCACAGGCAGCCCATGGGCGAGTTCAGAGCACCTCTTTGACCTGTTCTACCGTGCCCCCCCCCCCAAGGCAGCAGTGGGGATAACGGATTGCAGACCAGGCCCAGGGAGAGGGGACAAGGCCGGTAAGGCTCTGCTACTTGCCATCCATATCCTGCCCCTCCCAGGGCTAGCTGTCAGCTCACCGCACGAGCCCAGCCAGGGCTGAGGAGGGCTCAGGCCAAGGGCAGAAGCAGCCCCACATCCAGGGGAAAGCCCAACCCGTGGCCAGCAGGTGCCAGGGAGCAGCAACGCTATGCCCCCTCCATGGGGCCGCTGAGACCCTGGGCAGGCAAAGCTGAATCTAGCCCGAGCCTTGCCTGCAACCCACGGGCAGCGCTGCAAGCGCCTCCTGCTGGAGGAAGGGCAGAACTGCACACGCCAGCTGCCCCGTGCCAGGAGGCAGGTGCCGTGGCTGGGCAGAGGCTGCTGAAATGAATAGAGGGGGTGGCTTACCCTCTCCTTGGGGGGCCTGCCGGCCCCGGGAGCCCAGCGTACTCGCAGCCGGGAGGAGGGAGCTCTGCGCCCAGTCGCTCCCCTCTGGCACGTGGGTCAGAGGACCAGTGGCCCAAAGCTCGGCCCTGCCTCGAACCCAGGATCTGGCATCTAACATGGCTCGTGGCCTCGTGCGGTGAGGCTGGGGGCAGGCGCCGGGGAAGCCAGCAGCAGCCATGGGCCCGGGGACGTAGTGTGTGGGGAGAGGTGGCTGCAGAGCGGGGGGCTGGGACCCCCAATGCAAACTAGTGTTAACAACTGCCCCCGTGACCCCAGCCGGGAGATTTCACCTAGGAATAAATTACACCGCGGGACAGGCCAAGAGAAACTTCTCCCTTCTGGGGAGAGCGGGGGGGGGACCAGGGCGGGGCGCACATGGGGGGGGGGGGGGGGAGGGGGGCCCCTCCCCTCCCCCCGGGCGGGGGAAGGGGGGGGGGGGTGTCACTGTTGCTAGGGGGGAAACTGTCTGCCCCCTCTAAGGCACCAAAGGGTCGAATCTTTTATTGCATATTGCAGGGCCCGAGCTGCCCCCCCTCCGCCCTGTAGACAGGGCTGGTTGCAGACCCCAGCCCTAGAGATGGGCTGAGCTGACAGGGCCCCTCAGCCAGCAGCCCCCCCACCCCAGTCAGAGGATCCATCCCCCACTCTCCCGCCGGAGAGGGCGGATAAAGATAAGGCACTTGGGTTTGCAACCAAGCCCGCCCGGCCCACTCGGCTTCTCTGGAGCTCAGCTGAGCCCTCGGGCCAGCCAACAGTGGGGGGCACAAAGACCAAGGGGTGGGAGGCAGGGGACACCTTTGATCTTCAGCTCCCACAAGACGAGACGGGGGGGAAAGAGGGGGGCCTCTCCGGGCGGGTAACGACTAAGCGAAGATGTTGGTGACAAAGTCCAGGAAGCGCTTGGCGTACTGCTCGGGGTGGACGGTCGAGATCTCCGCGCCAGCCTGCAGGGGGCACAACAGCATCAGCGCCAACCAACCCCCGCCCCCTCCGACACCCCAGGGTGACCTTCCAACGCTTGCCAAGAGCCTGGGGGGAAGAGGGGAGGCTGTGCCCCACAGCTCTGACACCCCCTCCCTCGCCCGGTTTTCTGCTGGTCCACAGGCCAGAGGCCAGGCAGCCCAGCTGCGTTTAACGAGGCTAATTCAAGCGGGGCATGCGCAGCTCCAGCTGCCGTCTTCCCTTCCCCGGCGGGCCCCCCATGTGGCCAGGTGGCTCCGTCCCCCCGCCCCGGACGCGAGCGGGACTCACCCCGTGCTTGACGGTCTTGGCGGCGTGCGCGGCCTTCTTCTTGGCGTCGTACTGCGTGAGGATGTCGATGAGGCCCATGAAGTACACCTCCGGCTGGGGCCCGCCTGGGGGAAAGGCCATACCCCGGCTTAACCCGGCTCCCAGACCTTCAACGGACCCTTCCCCGCCCACTAGCTCCCTGAGCAGGGGTCCAGCCGCGGGCGCAGTGGATCCGCGCCCTGCCACTCTCGGCGAGCTCCACGGCCGGCCCCGTCCCTGCCGCCTGGCCCTGAGGCTGCCGCAAAGGGCTGTGCGACCCACCGGCCACACAGGGCGCTCCGGGCCAGCGCCCATGGCTGGGGCCCTGATTTTGAGGCGCTGGGGGAAAATCCAGCCCCGAACGCGAGGGCCGGGGGCTCCCATCCTTTGAACACCTTTCGGGCCAGCCAGCGAGGAAGGAACAAAGCTACCACCCCCCCCGCCCCAGATCCCTGCCCCCCGGCATGGCACTGCCAGCCCCACTCACCTTCCGCGCTCTTGATGGCGTACACGTCGACGTAGGGGTCAAACTCCCCGGGGCTCAGCGGCTTGTAGGAGTTCAGGTAGCCGCCGATCCCCTCGGGGGATGTCCCGTAGGAGCCCACAGCCATGACGTCCTCCCCCTCCTCTTCCTCCTCCTTCAGATCCTCGTCCTCCTCCTGCTCGGCCCGGAGCACGTCATGAATGCCCAGCAGCAGGCTGTAATCCATGATCTTCAGCTGGACCAGGAACTAGGGGGGCAGCGGGCAGGGGGTGAGCCGGGGCAGCAGTGAAAGGCTCCATTCCCACCGCTGCTGCCACTCGGGCCATGTTACCTAATGGTTAGAGCAGGGCCCTGCTTTGGCCCACTCTAAGGGCTGTCGCCGATCTGCAGGGAGGGGAGACCCACGACTGCACAGGGCCGCACCTCGCTCCAGGGAGAGGCGCTAGACATGGCCCACAACGCAGTTCTCCGGAGCCGTTGGGCCGCAGGGACGTTTGGGGATCCCTCCCCCACAGCTGAGAATGTCAGTGGAGCCGCGAGGGACCTGCTACTGTGGGCGCGGGAGACCCAGCAGTGCCAGGGCCTGGGTGCCAGCCAGAGCCAACAGCCGGTGCCCCTGGCAAAGCAGCCCTGCCGCCCCTCCTTTGCGTGGCTCTCCCTGGAACGTATCGCCTGGCACAGGCAGGGCTCTGGGTTCTTGGCCGGGCAAGGAGGGGCTATTGCCCCAAGCGGCCGGCGAAGGGAAGGAGACATGGAGTGGGGCACCGAGCCTCCCAAGGCAGTGCCCTTCCTTCCCATGGCTGATACCCCCAATCCCTGTGCCCCAGGTTTCAGTCCCTGCCGGCAGTGGCAGTGCGCCCCGAGGGGACCGGCAGAGCCCGGTAGCCGGTTTTGGTTGCTAGACAAGCCGTGCTCGACAGGCTGCCCCGGGCAGGTCTGGGCCGATCGGCTCGGGGAGGACGAGCTGTTTCGGGAAGGTTAGACGCCCCCAAGCACCCTCCTGCAGGCAGTGCCCGCAACCGATCCCAGCTGCCACCTCGGCGTGGAGGTCCGACGTGCCCGCGCCCCGCCCCACCAGGGGGCAGAGGCACCTGCCCTACCTCCACATCCCTCTTCAGCTTCTCCATGAAGTCGCCCTTCTGCCCCTCGTCCACGTACACCTTCTGGCTCATGTGCAGGAAGTCCATGTCTTTCAGCGTGGGCAGCTCCTTGACCTGGAAGGAACCAGACACGGTTAGTGGTCCAGGGAGGAGGGGGTCCCCAGGTGGAAGCAGCCTCACACCCGTGGGGCCACGCCCCGAGGGACGACCTGGAGAGCAGCCCAGCTCACGGAGTCGCCCCGGGAAACCCCCTCACCGCCCATGGCCCCTTTAACAAGAGGCCCTGTCAGACCTGGGACGGTTCCGGGGCTCACGGGGTGACAGGGCCATGGCGCCCATGCCCAAAGGCAGGAGAAGCTGGCGACAACAGCCCGGCCGTCAGGGAGCCGCTCCCCCCCAGAGGAAAGACTCAACAGGAGCCGGCGGCTGGCCCCTCACCCTGGCAGGATTCCCCCGGCAGCTGAGCCGAGGGCTCCAATCCAATCAACCCTCCCTCGCCATCATCTCGCGGCCCTCAAATCTCGTTAACTGGATGCTGACGCCACCCCCGGGCTTTAGGGCAGGCGAGGCCACTAACGAGATCAGGATTATCCGGCTAACTCGGGTCATTTCCCCCGCAAACGGGGCGAGGCGGCCGGCAGAGCCCCAGCTGCATCTCGCCCTGGCTCGTTTGGCACCGCGGTTGGTTAGTTAATCCCAGGCCCCCGCCAGACAGACCGAGCCTCTGGCCGGGCCTGGCATCAGCTCGTCCCCACTCCTGCCCGTGAACCGGCCTTGCTGCCCCTTCGCATCAGTGCCCCCAGAGCTAGCCGCAGCTGGAGAGCGCTGGCAAGGCGACCCCAGGGCCAGCAGCGCTCCGCACGGAGCCCACCGAGGCCTGTGCTGGGGGAGAAGGCTGCTGCCCTGGGCACCCCCTCCCCGGAGGGCAGCGCGCAGAGGGGTGGCCGTGCAGAGCTGAGAACCGCTCCCCCTGCCCGGTGCTTCGGTCCGGGATTTAACGGCGACCGATTCCTCGCCAGCTCGAGCTGCCTTTCGAAGGGGGCTGGGCCGCTCCCCGGCACGCTCTGCCCGGCCAGGGGATCCCAGCTTGAGCCCAGCCTGGCTCCCCCCACCGCCAGGGACGCCCCGTCAAACCCACCTGCTGGCCCGTCCCAGCAGTGGCACCGCGTCAGCAGAGGCCCATCCTCCACTCCAGCTCCCTGGGGTGGGGGGGATAAGACAGTGGCTCCCCTCCCCACACCCTGAGGGGACAGAGCCCGCCTCTTCCCATGGAGTCAGCAGGTCCCAGTTAACCAAGATCCCCCTAAGCTGGGCACAGGACACCCCAACGCTTCCCGCTGCCCTCAGCCTGCTGCCCAGCCCCAGGGACTCCTGTGGGCAAACCCAAGCCCCTTCCCTAAACGGAAGCACAGGGCTGCATCCCCGACAGCTCCCCCCCCCCGCCCTTCGCTGCTCGCCCCGGCTCCCACTCGGCGTGGGGCGGCCCCACGGGGAGGCGGCTGTGTGAGCAGCGAGGTGGATCCCAGAAGGCTGGAGTCCCAGGGTAGTCGGCCCAACCTCCAGGCATGGAAACCTGGCAGCTTCGCCCCAGTTCTGCCCCAGCGGGCAGGGCCCGGATACCAACCCAGCCCTCGAGGAGGGGCCTAGTTTTCAGATGCTTCGAGGAGCATCGGCAGAAAGGGAAGCAAGGCACCCCTACCACGGCTGCAGCCTGAGGACACCCGACGGCCACAGGAGACACCAGCCAGGCCTACCGGAGCAGCCTCCGATGGGGTCACCACCCCTGCCCATCCCACTGGGGGCAGCGACGCCCGTCAGTCAGGGACTCAGGCCCCCTGCTTGCTCCATGGGTCAGAGACCCCCCTCCCCCCACATCCTCAGCCATCCTCAGCTACCTTCTCCTTGTCGCTGGCTTCTCGGGACACCAGGGAGCCCTGCAAGAGAGGTACCCGCCGATTAGTCACAAGTCCCCCCCGGCCGCAGGAGGAGGGGTCAGATACACGCAGGAGTCCGTGGGGAGGGGCACAGAGCAGGCGGCCACAAGAAGCCACGGCAAGAGGGAGAAGATGGCTGAGATTTAGGGGACTGTCACCTGATTATTATGGATGGGAGCCAAGCGGCTAAAACCCTGCACTGCCCTGAGCCCCCGGGCTAGTCCCAGGACCTCTGAGCCACTTGGCTATGGGATCCGTCTGGCCCTAGCCACATAGCTGCTGCTGCTGGCCTCTCCAAGCAGCAACCCCCAGCACCTGGTGGGGGTGGGGAGGGCATGAACAGGTCCAGGGTGGGTCGCAACCACCTGCCCTTTGTGGGGAAATGGGGCCCCTAAACTAGGTTGCCACGTGGTGTGGAAAGTGACAAAAGCCACAGCTCCAATGGGGGCCTGTCCGGGGGGGTTTCCAGCCGTGTGCCGCACAGCCCTGGCCGACCTGACCCCAATCCCCACCAGCCCGGGGGCGCCCTCTGGGGTCCTGAGGCGCGAGAGAAGCTCCTCGGCCAGGAAAGGCGCTCCAATCTGGAGGAGGGTCTCTATCGAACTGCTGCTGAAAGCGGGGTTCAGGGCAGAGACCAATCGGGTGAAGCCGGGGCGATCGATCCCTCGGGGTGCAATGCTCTGGGCCGACCCCTGGTGACGCAGCCTCGCAGGGGGGCTCAGGAGGGCACAGAGAGACTAGACCGGCCGGCAGGACGATCAGCAGCTCGTGTGTCTGCAGGGACCGGGGTGCCCCCAGGAGCCTGGCTCAGGTGACTGCCCCTGGCCCCGCCCGCTGGCCCCGTTACCTTCAGGTCGTACTTCCTGTGCACGGCGAGCCGGTGGCTGAACACGTTCCTCATGACCAGCATGTAGGTCTCCTCGCTGTCCACACTGAGCCGGTACATCCCCAGGAACTGGGGCAGCAGGGTGAGCCCGTGACACTTCACCACGTACTGCAAGGAGACGGGGCCGCGTCAGACCGGCAGGGGCCAGGGCAGAGCGCGAGGCGCCAGCCGGTCGGGCCTCTGGAGACCCCAGCCAGAAGAGGGGGGCAGTGACGTGCCCTAGCGGCCGCAGGTTGGTGGCAGCGCTGGGATTGGAACTCGGCTCATTTCCTCCCAGCGGCAGGCAGGTTCGCTCTGGCGCCCCCAGGTGGCGAGGCAGGGACACCTCAGAGTGACACCGGCCGTACCTGGTGGTAGTGCGAAAGGAGGCTGTGCACGTCAGCCACGTCTTCGCTAGAGATCTCCTTGATCACCAGCGTCCGGTCGTAGGAGGTGAGGAAACGCCGGTCGCTCCCCTCACCTTCGTAGTGGGGCGGGCTGCGCGTCAGGGAGACCTGGGGGGGGGGGGGAGCAGGCGTGAGAACTGACCCCGGGGCATACCGGGGACACCTCACCCCAGGCCATTCCATCCTTTAACGGGGCAGATGGTGAGTTTCAGGAGCATCTGCTATCTGCTGCCTGCCTTGCCAAGGGGCACCACCCCAGCGATATCAGAGACTCGGCCAGGGCTGCTGTGGCCAGCTCCCAGCTCAGCTGGTCCCAACCCGCCTCTGGCCAAGAGGCAGGCGTCCCAAGGAAAGCTTTAAGGGGCGCAGGGTGGGTCTGCGTACGTCCCCCTCTATGCACACATGGCCCTGGAACGCGAGGCCCAGGACACACATTCACCCTCCTGCCCCCATACACGATCGGTACCGAGGGAGCGGGCTACCCACCTGGTAGTCCTGGTCGTCAATCCCGAAGCGCTCGCGGAGGTTGCGGAAGACCTGCGGGCAGTACTCCTTGAACTTGAAGTGGCTGGGCAGGTTCTCCCTGGCGGGGCAAAGGAGAAGGGGGTCAGTGTTTAGAACCAGAGGGACCAGCTGGCCCCGGGAAGGGATCAGGAGCCTGGCACAGTCACAGCCGTAACCGTGTGATTCAGTCCAATACCACACGGCTCATGGGCATCTTAACCCGCCCCTGGCATCGGGGACCCTCCTTGCTGGCAGTCGAAGCAGAAGGCAGAGGTTGGAGGACACCAGACAGAGCCAGGGCGTTAGAATATTTTCTGTCTGATTCTCTCTCCCTTTCCGAGTGGCTCCCAACACGGTTCGCTTTTTGACGGCCGTGGCACAAGGAGCGGGTGTTTTCAGAGAACCTGATCTCTGTCTGTAAGGGTATGTCTACACTACAGGATTAATCCGAATTTAGATAATTCGAATTTGGGAAACAGGTTGTATAAATTCGATTGTGCGCGGCCACACTAAGCACCTTAATTCGGTTTTAAACCACATTAATTCGGTGGTGTGCGGCCACACTACCCCATTAACTTAAATACAGTAATTCGGTGGTGTGCGTCCACACTAACCCTAATTCGAATTAACAAAATCGATTTAGGCTCTACTCCGTTCGTCGAGGTGGAGTACAGAAATCGATTTAAAGGGCCCTTTAATTCGAATTAACTAGCTCTGTAGTGTGGACGGGTGAAGGGTTAATTCGGATTAAGGCAGCTAAATCCGAATTAAAGTCCTAGTGTAGACCAGGCCTAAGTATCTACGTGGGGCGCAAAGATCTAACGACAGGCTCTTCCACCGAGCGGAGCAAGACAGAACGAGAGCCAGTGGCTGGAAGCTGACGCTAGACAAAGGCGGCAGACGTTTAACAGGGAGGAGAATTACCCCATTGTGGAGCCTCCATCGCGGACCGTTTTTAACTCCCGACGGGCTGCGTGTCCAAACGATCTGCTGTAGGAATTAGCTCGGGGCAGCTCTTGACTAAGTGATCACAATGGAGCAGCGTGCACCACCTGCCCGGCTCCTGCTGTCAGACAGAGCTTCAGGAGCCCACTCCTTGCCAGAGTGGCAGTGCTGGCCCCAGCTGCCCCGCTCCGGGCAAACGAGACCCACACGGAAACTTTTAGGTCACGTTTGCTGTTGAGTCTTCGCCTGGGCCCAGGTACAGGGTGGTTAAGGCTGGCAGGCGAGAGGGGAGGGACAGCAGGGGAGGGCACTGGCACAGCCAGAGCTCTGGGCGAGGGTCCCCTAGCTCCAGGGCAGAGTGTTAGGCCTGGAAGGGGCTGGGGAAACAGCAGCTAATGCCGAGCACAGCAATGCCAAGGGGCTGCCACCGCGAGGGCACTAGAGGCTGCGCCCAGCGCAGGGAGAGAGACTCAGGAGCCAGGTGCAGCGGGCGCGAGAGGTGAAAATGCTGCTCCTGGGCTGAGCAGAAGACACGAGGGGAGTGGGACATAGGGATGGGCGGGGAGGCTCATCGGGGGCTGGCTAGAACCAGCCTGTAGCAATGGAGGATTTGGAAAGACAACGGACACCTCGGGGAATGAACTGTGACCCCAAACGGGACAGGATCGGAACTGGCCTTTCCAGGACTCCGAGCTCTGACCTGGGACTGACGGCGAGCGAGCGGAGATGGGATCTTCGGCAGCTTGGCTGGGCGGAGCTCGGCAGAGCCCTCTTACCCTTTGCTTCTCTCCGTTCCCCCCAGGGCTTCCCAGGCTGGGCTCCAGCTGCCTAATAAACCCTGCGCGGTTTTGAAAACGGCTACCTGGAGTCAGCGCGTCAACAGGGGGAAAGTCTCAGACCAGGAGCCGATCTCGGCCCTTGAGGAAGGGTGAGACCCCGTCGGGGAGCGGCCTGGCTCGCTGAGGGCTTCCTTCAAGGGACTGTTTAAAAGCCGCGGCACAGCATGGATCCCGTGGCCCCGCGACGCCCCTGCACCCAGGGTGGAAATCTGTCGCCTAGGAGGACGCCGACCCTGCTTTCTCCTGAGTGAGTCGGTCTGATCTCCGGTGCACTGGGGTGTAATGTACCAGATCCAACCTCAGCCATTTCGATACCAGCCAGCGAGCTGTGCGCGCACGCGCCCCCCTCCCGCAAACTCCGTGGGGGCGGCAGCCTCCTGCAGCGACTCACCTGTTGAAGAGATGATTGTTCACTTTGATTTTAGAGTTGGCTTTAAAGTCATCGGGTAGCAGCATCACCGGCAGGGGAACCTGGCTGAGCTCATTGATCTGGCAAGGGAACACAGGACAAGCGGGTTACTCCCCGCCCCGCGCGCAGGTTTGGCGCTTCAGCAAGCGGCGTTCAACCCCCAGGCGCGCTCAGACCTGCTGCTGGGTATCCTGCCAGCCTCGTCCAGGTGCACAGAGCCAACGCCACACGGGACAGCTTCCACTCCTCTAACAGCGCGGCGGGGTAGGGGGCTAGGACAGCGTTCCCAGCAAGTCCCTGCAGAGCCAGCTAGGATGGCCCAAAAAAAAAAAAAAAACCCGGCCCAGGGCCTGGTCAGGAAGCTGCTTGGCGGTGTCCAGAGCATGGCGGTGGAGAGGTGCCAGGGAAGAATTCGAGCTCCCCTCCCTGAGCTATTCAAATGAACTGGACAGCAAGTGCCAGGCAACCTGTGAGTGCCCCCTACTGGATGGGGTAATAAACAGCCAGGCCATTGGAACGGGGCGACAGGAGCCCAGGGGAACAGTGTATAATTCAATTCAAGCAGCCCGTCAGTTGGCGCTCGAGGGAGCTCTGGGAACGGGCTGTGGATTGACATGAAGGGGGCTTGCCCACCGCTTGGCATGGCAGTGCCAAGCAAGTCCGAGGAAAGCAGCAGCTGGGACAAGCCAAGCTCCGGCCTGTAGCCGCTCAGACTCCACCCCGAAGCCCAGGCACAGGGAGCAGACGCCGATCAAGCCTGTGGGAGGAGCGAGCCGGCTGGGAGGGCGTGCGTGAGGTGGGAGCGCCCGTTTTAGCCCAGCACAAGGGGAGATGCCGCAACTGCGTGAGTTCTGGGGCGGGGCCGTCACCGCCCCACCCAGCTTTGCCCTACAGACTCCGGACGGACAGTCCCCAAAGCTGCGCAGCGCCGTTTGGGGGCTCTGCCATCAGCTGCTAGAAGGCAACCAAGCTCCCGCAGAGTCACTGGGAGACCATGTGGGTAGCGCGCCAGACCTCAGAGACCCCCGTTCGTATCCCAGCTCTACCACCTTGGGCAAGGTCCCATCCCCGCCCCGTGCCTCGGTTCCCCCTAAATGGTACGTCCCTCTCTGTGAAGTGCTTGCAAGCCAGGGGTGAAGGACACCGTACAAGAGTTATTAACGGCCAGTTGAGCCCCCTTAAGAGCCTAGCAGACATTGCCCTTTGTAGATAAAACAGAGAGGTTCAACACTGCGCCCTGTACCGGTCACGGACCCGCACCTGAGAGGGGAACCGTCCGTCGCGAGGGCCCTCGACACGAAGAGCCCCGGCGTTAACAGACACAAAGCGACGGCACGCGGTGGGGTCCCGGCAGCTTGACACAACACTGCAAGTACATGCGCACGGGAGCCCACGCGAGAGAACTCCGCGAGCAGCCAGACGCTCAAGCCACCGGTTCGAAAACCTGCTCCGTTTCTTACCCAGGCACGTGATTTTTTTTTAAGCCGGGGCACAAACTAAACACACCAAACAGCAGGGAGCCGACGAAGCCAAGGCACCACCCGGGACGACCAGCCAGGAAGGAAGCAGCTGGCCAGGCTAGGGTTAAGGGACCACCACACTCCATGCTCCGAGGCCCACGTACCATCAGCCTGCTACACTGGGACGTCCAGGTTGTTCTGGGGCTGGTTAAGCAGGACACAGAGCTCTGGCTTTCTAGGGGGCTGGACTGGAGTGTCCCTTACAGCCCCTGGAATCAGCAGGCGGGTCCCTTGGCTTCTGGTCTCAGCCGGTGGCTAAGGGGTGGGCCCTGGTACAGCGCACCCGAGAGAAGTGTGGGTTGAGACACTGATCCCACAGTGCAGATGCCTGCTCCAGGTCCCACTTGGCACCGTGGGGCTGGGACGTTCTCCCCCTTTCAGCTTGCCGCTGCGCGACGATGCTGCGCCCCACCTCGGACCCGGGTCACGAGGGGCTTTTCCCGTTCGGGATCTCACTAGCTCTTGCCTGCCAGGGTCCCTCAGGCGGGCCAGTCGCCGTCAGGCAGGGGGGCGGAGGCGCTCACACGCCAGAGCGAGGAATGCGGTACACATGCCTGGAAAGGCGCAGGCCACCCCTTCTAAACCCACAGGGCTCCCTAGGATGGGGTCTGAGCAGAGGACTGGGACGCCAGCAGCGCCTGGGAGCCTCACGTTCCCTGTCTGCAGGCTGGAATAATCCTGCCCTCGTTCCCAGGGAACCTTGCGCTGTGACCTGGTTACCGAGCTCCACGGCTGTAGCCCTAGCGATCAGGACTATTTAAGGAGCACAGCCGCCGGGAGCTGTGGGGGCACAAACTGGCATTCAGCAGGAAACCCCACAAAGTTCACACCCCCACCCACGGGGTCAGATCTGCCTAACTCCTGCAGAACTGGGACACCACCACCCCGATCAGACCCACTGCCTCAGGTGAAGGCTGAGGAAAGGGGCAGCTTCTGCAGAACTCACATTGTGACTCACGTTGGGGTGGGGGGAGGAAGCAGAGGAAGAGGAGATGCCCAGCCCAGGGGGAGGGAATAGTGTGGGGTGTCTCACCTGGTGGGGGACACCCCAGCTCAGAGGGACAGTGAGGTCCTAGGCTGGAGGGAGTCAGTGGGCCCCGAGTGTCCTGGTCTCACCAGGTGCTGAACCCCACAACTCACTCCTAGGATGCAGTGAGGTCGGGGGTGGGGGAGAATCACAAGCTCTCAGGCTGGGGGGGTGGGTGGGTGTCCCAGGGGCCCCACCATCATCCAGGGCTGGACACCCAAGCCCAGCAGCGGCAGTGACATCGAAGGAGCTCAGGGTCAGAGGGTCCTGGGCCAGGATCAGGGGCGCCCCAGAGAATAATAAGGGCCTGGATTAAGTGGTCCTGGGGGACACCTGGTGCTGGACACCCCAGCCCAGGAGAGCAATGAAGTC